AAGTTCTTGAGCTATTCAAAAGATTGAGATTGTAGATAACATAAATTTCTCCCTTCTGATATTGATTGTCCAGCTCTACCCAATTGCACCTAGGTGTGGCCGATTTGCGCGATAGCTTTCGACAGTCTTAACTTTGTTGTGAACCCCTAGGCAAGGCGTTTTGACTTTGCCTAGCGCCTAAGCATAAGATTAAACAAGCATTTTTTTAGCAATGTCTGTGAAACAACTTACACTCTATGGTGTGTGTATATATATATATATATATGTTTAGGGTGGTTTGTGGGTTGTAGGATTAAGAAATGCGTATTATAAAATTCTATTGATTAAGGTTGATAGAAAAGGAACGTACAAAATTTCAAGAGGTTGACTTATGATATTGTGGAGATAAAAATATCTATTATACTTTAGATTCGAAGTTAGGGACAAACAGAAGATGGATTGGAAAGACTAGGGGGACACCAGAAGCTTCTGTATGAAAAGCTCATTTGAGTATTTGAGGTAATTAATTACGTTTGTGGTTTTTTTTTCATATATATCTCCATACAGAACAGTAGATACGAAGTATATAACAATATACATGACCTTTGCAGGTCAAATCACAAATGAAAAATGAGAAGACTTTTGCAGGTCTCACAAAATAGGGCTTTCCTGCCACGTATGGGCTGCCCTATGATAGCTGAACGGCATGGGCAATATCATGATTTCTTTCTTTAAAGGATCAAAATCATAAACTAACCATGCTGAAAATTGAAGCAGGAAAGCAAATCCTTGTATCATGAAGATTGACACTCCCAATGAGCATCTTTACCTGCAAAATGAGCAAACATAGAGGCCCGAAAGCCACAAAAGAAAGTCAAATCTTGTAGATCTGACAGAGCGACTCACGCTCCGTATAAGCAGCTGAACGACATGGGTAATAAAAGAACTCGTCGAAAGGTAAGCGCCTACAAAATGAACAAACTTTTTTTTTGTTTTTTTTTCCAAAGAAATGAACAAACTAATTACGTTTGTGTTGGTTGTTTAAGGTGAATAATGGTACCGAAAAAGAGAGAGAGAAGCTAGGTTGGTATCGGTCGGTAACTGCGGCTGTAAGAAAATAAATATTACTGCAATGAGTTTATGGCCTTATGGGCGATAGAGGCGAGCAGATTATGATAATGACGCAGGGTAGGTATGTAAAATTAAATATTACCATTGGAACTCTTCTACTTGTATACAAGTACAACGCATGCAAGTATGCAACTGGGACATTTGTCTTTAAAATATATAGCTAGCTGTCTGTTCGACCGAATTTATACGAGTACAACCGTCTTTTCAATTTTGGCATTTCTGTAACGTGTCGAATATTTTTTCGACAAAATATTGTCCGTAGCTTTCGGGCTATACTCTCATACTTTTTTTTGTGTTAGGGGTGAATACTAAAGGGATTTTTAGAGAGGTCATCCATCTTTATAGTGCTCAAAATGAGTACGTACGTTAAACTTCTGAGTTCTGACACGAACTATTCCATTTCACTCCAATATGCGTCTTGTGAGTTAAACTAGATTTTTTATTTATGAACTATAGGTCTCTCGTTCTTTGTCGATGTGGGATTCGCGGTACGCCTACCCGTTGTCAACGAAGTAATGCATGCAACTATATATTAGTGTAGTGTCATAATTCATAACTCGATTGATCTATTCCTTCTCTCAGACTTTACTCACTATATGGTTCTTTCATAATTTTCCTTCTTAGTAACTTCGGTAGTAAATGTATTGGAGTAGGGAAATGAATGCTTGATATATAAAGCATGTCAAAGAGGGAAATCACTTGGTTCGCCACAAGATAAAGTGATCCATCGTAGCAAAAGGGCACACGTAAATGTTTTTACGTACGTATTCTAGAATCTAGATTGCCGGTGAAGTAAGGAAGATAGATAGATAGTATCAAATATCAATTAAGTTGACAAAATTATAGATTACAGAGTACTTAGCAGGTAATTAAGTAGATAACATATAGAAGGATGGGTTGGATATTAAGGGATTGTTAATAATACAGTTAACAGTTTTATTTGAAAAAATGAACCTTCGTAGAATTGTTGATGTATTAGAAAATTTTGAATTAATTTTTGTTGTTGTTTGGATGTTGAATTTGGGTTCAGAATTTGATTTTTTAATTTTTAAATTATAGTAAAATTATATAATAAAAAAATGAATGGATCGGTTTATCAACTGACAGCGTGACCTTAGCTCCCCCAGATTGAGAGCGCGAGTGGTTCAAACCTTATCTCGGATTCTCGATCACTTGCATGTGGGACGGGGACAATAAGGAATGGATCACACTCAACGGGAGGAATGGTGATTAAATATTGGAGTGGTTCGGTTGTCTTAGCTAGGGGAGTACATTTCGATTATATTGATGGTCCACCAATGATAGAAATATTAGTCCTCCATGAGGTCATCCAGTGGTGTCTGGATTGTGGCCTCTTGCAGGTTCGTTTTGAAGGGGACGTGAATGTGGTCATTGATAAGACAAACCAGGCCGATAAACAAGATGATCACTCTAGAGTCATTCTCAATGAAGTTCTTTGTTTGTTGGCAAATCATAATGGTCTTCATTACGATTTGTAGGTCGGAATAGCAATAGGGTAGCCCACTTGGTGGCTAGAAATGTTCTTTCTTTGTACCCGACTACGTGTCGCTCTTTTGCTTTTGTATCCTAGTTGTATACCAAGGTGTAATGTGTTCGATCACTTTTTAATCTATACAAGATTCCAAAAAAATATAAAAATAAAGGATTTATCAATACTCACATATTGAGGTTTGCTTTTCTAAATTCGTCAGACTCGTCAATTTGAAACGATTTTTTCTTTTTAATTCATAAAAGCACGTATTTGATGCATAATTGAGATTTGTCAATTAAATTAATATATATTGAATTTTGGATGTCAAATTCACTACTCCAATCCAACGCACAAATAAGGCATCTAATTATCTTTCACCAGTAAAATTGCTTGAGAGGAAAAAAAAAAAAAGTTAAGAATCTTCTTGTAACTTATTACTTTCACGGTTTTTCAGTAGGGTTTCCAATTAACTTTCCAACCGTCTTCAACACTTCCCTAACTGGAATAAATGTGATCTACAAAGAGACAGATACCCTCAAACCCAAGCTAGTTGTCACTTCACGTCGACAATGATTAATTATTTGGTTTTAGTGCAATTGCAAGTCTTACAACTATGTTGGACATCAGTAACGTGTTTTTCGACAGGTTTCTCCGATGGTGACGGTGGGTTTGTATCATTGTATGGTAGAGTACTCTTTATGAGTATGATTTTAGAGGGATTAGAGGGTGTAACTGTAAAGTTTTGTTTTTAAATAGTGGCAACATGTGATAAAATTTTGGGGTTTTGGTAGATAGGGTTGTATAACATTTCGTGCATATAATCAAATATGTTTGTTTCATGGATTTCTGAGTGACATCATATGTAAAGAATGATATTAATATATTTTTTATATATTACTATTTTTTTAAATGACCTGCAACAATGTGAAATTTGAATTTTTCCCCCCGGTAATTATCAACCTTTGCATTAAGAACCGCCTGGAAAATCCAGGATCCACAAAAACTTAGGAGCAACAGACCTGCTCCACTGATCCATTTACAAAAGTAAACTAGAATCAACTAAGCTAGCTATCAAAAAGTTAATAGACAGCTGAAATGAGGAATCAACCTAACTTCTGCAAGGAAAGCAACGTTTCCATAGTATAGTAGTTAAAATCATCAACTAACTGTTGTAGGAGCAATCTGGACTCTCTTTTGCTGCCTTGATATATACGAGTGCAACGCTCCTTCCAAATAATACTGAGACACCAGCACAACATAGCACCCTGTACCAGCCCTTTAGCTCCATTCTTTACAATTCTGCATATCCACTGTAATAAACTCTCCCACGAGCTTCGCCAGAGACTCGAGCCAAAAATGGGTGCAAAATCTGCAAGGAAAAAGAACACTTGCAGAACAGATGTGTTCTGCTTTCCTCCTCACTGTCACATAACACACATCGCATCAGTCACTTTCCCCCATTGTTTCAACTTATCTAGGGTAGTGATTTTGTTCAGAATTATCAACCACACAATAACTCTATTCTTTGGAATCACACATTTATTCAAATCACTTGCCACTATTCAACTTTCAATTTTTTGGGTCGTATAGAATTCCAAACCTGCTGGATAGAGAATCGTGTCATCACTTTTCCTTCCCAAGTTACCTCGCCAGCTGCAGTAGTAGCAAACCGAAATTGGAACCAGCCGCGAATAGTCAAAAGCTTTCGCCACATCCACGAACCTGTCTAAGAAGAAGATAGGTCCCAAATTGAAATTTTTGTTTACAAATTGACGAGTTTATTATAATCTACAAAATGTTATCCATATTCGATATATTTTGAAGAAAGATTTCGTACCACCCATTATCATCTGGCACCACTTTCGTTTTTAACTCAAATTTGACATAGAAGGAATGGGTCGATTGTGATCTACAAATTTCCAGCAAAAAAATTTCACGATTACCATCCTGGTATAGGATAGTAAATCAAATGATGGTCGTTAGTGATGAAAAGTGATAGACGATAATTAGTATATTTTTTATTATCATTGTATATAACTATTATATACTATAATATATTCATACACTACCATGGTCCATTTTAATACAACCACGATATAATCTTACATACTACCAAAAATTATCAACATGGTATAGACTGATAATATCTGCCTCAAAATTTTGCTTTAGAATATATCAAAATAAGTTTCTCATTTTAAAAAGTGATAAATCTAATTTTTCTGTGTAAAAATAATATTATATATATATATATATCGATTTTGAACACCAACATATCATATTGGTAGTCGAAAAATGAATTTCCATAAAATATATACAACATATATGTTGCCGATTGTCTTGCGCACATTGTTTCGTTTTTGGGATGGAAATCAGGCCATCAATATTTTCTTGCCCACACCAACACCAAACCTACTACTACTACTGCCATAATTACTAAATGTCCAGCTCGCCGTCTCCCTTCCCATTTCTCTATTCCTTTTTGCTCATACATTTCCTCTTTCCCCACGCACTATATATTCTACGTATATAAATCGAGATGCAACACTACATTCTCAAACAAACGCTCACGCTTTCGTCTCGAAAGGTCGTTTCCGTGGTCGCTAAAAGCAAATCAATATATATAGCGACGAAAAGAAAAAAATAGCACAAAATGGGTCGACCTCTTTCTGCTCCGTCTTCCTCCTTGGCGCCGTTGCTGTTCCTGACGGCGTTGCTAATAAGCGTCGCCGTTAGTGGAGCAGCGGCGTCGAGGGCGACGAACGCCACCGTGCCGGCGATCCTCATATTCGGCGACTCCATCATGGACACCGGGAACAACAACAACCTGGCCACCATCATCAAGTGCAACTTCCAGCCCTACGGCGTGGATTTTAACGGCGGCCCCACCGGCAGGTTCTGCGACGGCAAGATTCCCTCCGATATCATCGGTATATATACAATCACGCTGCTTTAATTTCCATAGTTACTAAATACTCCGTTTAATACACGTATATGTCCCCGTACGTACTTTATCCGTTTAAACTTTCGTATCCGTATTATTGTCAAGCCGTTTCTTTTTTGTCCATTCATTTGATGGCTCCCATATTAAACACATATAAAACCCGTATACCATGTTTAATATCCGTATTTAATAAATTAAATTATTAACTATACTATTATTTATTTATTTATTTATTTTACTAACTATGTTAATTTCTGTCTTTTTTATTCCGTCAACAATAGTAATCGATAGTGTCAAATTTGATCTGGGTTTGTTCTTTTTTAGAAGCCTCGATCGGTCTCAAATTTTAAATGCTAAGGGTATGTATGACACACTTGAAAGTAATAATGAAGAACTCGTTTCTTTCCCATGCCGTTTCTTTTAATGTATTGTTTGGATACCTATTGAACCCTTTATATAGAAAAAAACTATATTTCCTTCATGGGTCCAGCCTTCGTCGTCATAATTGAGAGTGGGATCCACTAGAGACTTTTGTTACATTTGAACTTGCCTTAATTAATGGTCTTGTGAACATGTTTTTGGCAACTTAATTAGAGCATAACTTTGATTAATTCGTCTCTGTCGATCGAGTTGGGAAGTTTGTAGTTTAAAAGCACAAAGTTCGGACGATTCATTTCAATATGACGTACTTAGTTCGAAGTTGGGATTGCTTATAGTATACTATTTATAATCAACAGTTTTATCTTATTTTTACTTGAAATTAATAGTGTCCCACAAATATATCGACGAAACACCTTAAGTCCTTGTAAAATGATGTTTTATGGCGTGACCCTGTGGTCGAATTGTTCAAATTATTACCCTGTATCGATAAAGAATATTCACACTTTGGGATTACTAAAATGGATGGATGGATAATTGGAATTCTATATATACTTAGAAAATATTTTTTTTTATCTATGTGGATGGTTAGGTCGGAGAAGTAAATCAGGGTAAATTGGGTAAAGATTGTGGACTGTGGACAGCCTGCATAGGAAGGCGACACTGCCCTGAATAGTTGGGCCCAATATTAAATTTCATGTTGACCCACACGCTCAGAAGGGGTGGCCCAATTGCCTCAGTGGTGCAGGCCGCTCTGTCTGGTGGACCTGAACACCATTTATTTTTATTAGGGCCATCAATTTTCATTTGGCCCACATTTTATTTCACTCTCATCAGGCTTCAACATCTTGGCCCATATACCCAGGCCTCACAAGTCACAAATCACAATCTTTCAAGTTTCATTTCTTCTATCTTTTTTCCCCTTCATTTTATATATGAAAATTTATATATTTTCTTATTCTGATTTTAATAGGCTGAAAATAGTAAATCTTTAATTGTTTTTGGAATTTTTTTTTGGCGAACAAACAGCTGAACAATTGGGAATCAAAGGCAGCGTTCCTCCATATTTGGACCCAAGTCTCCAGCCCAAAGATCTATTAACTGGAGTCACCTTCGCTTCAGGAGGCGCTGGATTCGACCCTATAACCGCAAAACTAGTGGTACTTAAAGCCCATACTTTTTTTTCTCTCCTTCTAATGCTAAATAGTTGATTTTGTAACAAGTTTTCATGTTGTCTAATCTCTTATGTTCCAAACGATACAGGCAGTTGTGTCACTGAGCCAACAACTCCAATACTTCCAAGAATACATCGCCAAGGTGAAATCCATTGTTGGGGAAGAGAGGGCAAACTTCATCATAGGTAACGCCTTGTATCTAGTGGTTGCCGGAAGTGACGATATCGCAAACACATACTTCACTCTTCGAGCGAGGAGCAACTACGATATCCCCGGTTATACCGACCTCATGTCCGATTCTGCTTCGAATTTTGTTCAGGTAAATTTTATAAACGAACATGATTTTTTTTTCTTTCTGTGTGTTCTCGAAATCTTGCTATTAAATCCACCTTTTTGTGCTTCCTCGACAGCAAATATACAAGTTGGGAGCCAGAAAGATTGGGGTGTTCAGCGCGCCGCCGATCGGGTGCGTGCCGTCGCAAAGGACTGCCGGCGGTGGACCTATGAGGGCCTGCGCCGATAACAGTAACCAAGCCGCCATTCTTTTCAACTCCAAGCTGAAATCAAAGTTGGACTCTCTTCACCAGATGTTACCCAATTCGAGAGTCGTCTACATTGATGTCTACTCTCCCTTGTTACAAATCATTCAAACCCCTACAAAATACGGTAGTGAAAATACTTCATTAATCATATTGCCCGTAACGTTTCGAAGCTCCATTGGTATGTTTTTAACACATTGGTTTGTTTTCTAGGGTTCGAGATTTCGGAGAAAGGATGTTGTGGAACGGGAGCAGTCGAGGTGGCTATATTGTGCAACAAGTTCACTCCACCTTGTCCCAATGTCAATGCACATGTATTTTGGGACAGTTACCATCCTACTGAGAAGACTTACAGGGTTCTAGTTACAGAACTGCTGGATAAATACTCGAGGGACTTATTGGGTTGATCCAGTTTTCATAAAAAAAATCAAGAGCTCGTCATTATTGTACCATTATCGATACAGTCGAAATTTTATATGTAGTAGAGAGAAAAAAAGATGGTCGTTTGCAATATGTTTCTGGTTGTTGACTACATGTTTGGTTTGTAACTCTTTTTTTATTTTAATTTTCTTTTCTTCTTCTTTTTGTTGGCTTGCATAAAAAAAAACCCTTGTTATGGGCTATGAGTTGTTTGTGCCCGGCTGGCCGGAGAATGTCAACACTACACGATAAAAGATCAATGAAGCACAAAGCAAGAGTTTGTGCATTGGTTGATTGTTACAGTTATTTAAACTATTATATTTTGAATTTTCACGGTTTCAATGAAAATGCAAGTTTAATTTGAATACACGCTAAATGGCGTAAATACATAGTTCAATTCTCAAATTTAAAATGCTCTTGTTATTCCTTAACCCTCTATCACTTTCATAGCCTACTTATATATAAATTAGTCCTCCTACACAATTACAATTCAATAAACCAATTCTCAGTTATTACAACACCCTCCATATGATACCAAACTTGTGCTCAAGTTTGTATATAAAGAAGCATAAAGCATTAATCGGGAAATGAAACAAAGGAGCTCCTCAAAATCTGCAGGGTCGTCCAACTTTTTTAACTAAATTTAATAAATAAAAGATAAAATACATAGTAATGATGGGTGAATATTGTTTATTATTACCATTATTCAGATAAGTTCTCTATCCTTTATTAATTATTACTATTATTTATTTATTTTCCTTTATAATTATTCATCATTATTTTTTTTCCAAAGCTTTTCATTCCTATTCTCTATAACTATGGCATATTTTTCAAAAATTGTCTTCTAAAAAAGAAAAAGTTAGTCTCATCTTTATGAGTAGGACACGAATTTTGATTCGTGCTTACTGGCCGATAATGGCCTACGGCATTGTGTTCTGCCGGTGACGGCCCTCTCCGTTGTGGAGCATATCAATATGGTGGAGTTTATGGTGAGGATGATCAAACGACAGTCCCAAGATCCTTTTGGATTGCCTATTAGTTTTCTTGTTTTGCAGGTCACTTCTGGCTACTGATGGTGCTTTATGGCTTTCTCAAAGGAAAGGTTGCGGTTTCTGTAGCTTCTCATAGGGCTACTCATCTTGTGGCAAACCAGATCCTTTCATCGGGAATCTCCTTGGCCATAATCAATGTATGGTTTGATGGTGCGGTCAAGCGTGGTCAAGGAGGTAGTATCGACTTTGTAGGCTCTCTTGAGATAGGTAATGTTCTGTTTTCCTTTGGAAAATATTATGATGGGATCCACTGATCCAGGATCCATTTATAATGGAATGTTTAGCTTTATGTGATGCCTTACAGTGGTGTCTAACTCATTCCTTTCTTGTGTTAATTTTCATGGGGACTATCAACTCTTGATTCGGCGGATGGTTGGAGGTGATTTGCATCATGATTGGGGTGGAGCTATTTTGGAGGATGCTAGGAGCTTAACTTCAAGCTTCTTAGTGGTTTGTTTCTCGCCAACTCATTAGGGTTGCCCATCATGTGGCGTAAAAGGCCCTCTCATCAAGAGTTCGACTATTGGTCGACTCTCGCGCTTTTCTTTCTTCCTCTCTGTGACTTTCGTTTCAACTATTGAATTTGAAAAAAAAAAAAATAATAATGATCGGTGAATTATTTGAGCCGTCCATAGGACTAATAAAATGAGTGTTGGGCTTCTCGTGCATTAATTTAATTAACTTTTTTTCCTACTAACAAATTTGGTTTATTCCATAAAAGCCACCCCCTCATAATAATACTAATTAAAGGAAAGTTAGGCTCGTTGATGCATTAGTTTAATCAAGTTATTTTTTTTTCAAATGAATTTGTTTTGGTCCATAAGAACTCAGAAGTTCATAAGACAAATACAAGTGTTATGATAATAAAGTGAGGCCCTGTACTGTGAGGTTTGCCAGGCCAAGATTGAGCCTACAAATCTGGATGAGCAAGTGAAGGAGATGGTTTGTAAGAAATTGACATAGAATGGACTAAGTACATGGCGGGGTGAGGCAACACAAGTCAAAAGTAGATACTCATTTTCTGCCTCATACTACTGCGAATTGGATAATAACCGCCTCATCGCGAATCATGTCGAATTATACTCACGGGCGAGTTTGAAATTGCCATCTTTACCAAACCATTAGAACAAAATCTGAAACAACCATTGAACACCCAACATAGTAGAAAATTCGAAACAACTAGCTCTCCAAAATTTCTGCACTCTAGAATATAGTCCTAATACGGTTCCTCTAAGCTGGGATTGTTTCCTCTCCCATTAGACACAACCCGCATTGGACGGGACAGGTTACGGTGATTACTAAGGGTAAATTGGGTATGAAAATAAATTGTATTAATTAATTTGTTTAATAAATTACATTTTAGATAGTTACAAAAATCTATTAATTACAATTCTCTTTCTTTCTCTCACTTCCATAATCTCCAGCCAGATCCCCTTTCCTTATTTTTCTCAATCTTTCTGCAAAAGAAAAAAACACGAAATCACTATTCACTAACAATTCATTAGACAACCACTACCACTTTGAAAAATATCAATACCTGTTTGAGCCACTATACCCCCTTCTCTGTTCGGGCGTCTCTCTTCGCCTGGCGTCGACCTACACACACAAAGAGGAGGGCGCCTCGGCCCGTTAATCCTCCGACGCCCAAGTTAGCTTCTCGGAGTGAATAAAGTTCTCAAGTAGTGTTTTAGTGAGAGAGAGTCCAACCTGTATAAATGCTATCAACTGCCCCTATTTATACTCACCGAACCCGAGGTTGATCTCCTCCACGTCACTGCCTTCTTTTAATGCTCTGCGTCCCCATTGTGAGACATCCAACAGCCTTGTCAGGCTCCTGACACACGACAGGCGCCCGCAGGCAATGGTCCCCCTGACAGCTGGTTTCCTTTTGGCTTTTAGTGCTTTATTCTTTGGGCCCTTCCCCTTATCTTGGCCCAAGGGCTTCTGGTGGATCCTTTTTCGGGCCTTGCCCCCCAATTCCTTAATTCTGGGAGCCCAAGTCCCCAAGACCGCTCGTACTACCCCCAACAATTGCCCCCCAGTTAGCTGCTCATGGTTTCACCTTTGAGCGCCTAGCTGACTCTCTTGCTGCGGTTTTGGTGTTCCTCATGTTGTGGGGCGAGCGCCTAGCAATGTTAGGGCGCTTTGCCCAATATGGGCGCGACATGCGGCGCTTTAGTTAACTCAGTACTGCCGGGCGCCCATGTTGCGTCTCTGCCTCTTCTTCCAGCTCGGAGGCGCTGTTGCTCATTCCTTCCACTGGCGGGTGTCCCTTTCTCGATGATGCCCCTTGCTATGTGCATTTCTTCTTCGTGCTTCGTAGGCGCCTTTTGATGGTACTCTCCGTTCGGGCGTCCCTTGCCTTTATGCCCCCCTCACGGGGAGAGTTTTGAAATGGACCCCACATTTCGCGTGGCGGGAAAATTCGAAATTTCAAATACGAAGATTGGAAAAATTCGAAATGGGAAATTTCGAAAGTTCCGGGGAGGGGAAAGTGGGGGAAGCTCAAAAGTCGGCCCGTGGCACTGACACGTGGCATGTTGGCGCGACCCTTGACCTGGACTTGTCACCCCCTATAAATACCTCCTCCTTCTTCCCTTCTTGTCACTTTCTTCCATTTGACCTCTCTCTAGATTTTGTTCTGACATCACTCTACGCTTCGCTCTGTCCTCTCTCCTGTCAGACTTTGCTTGCGTCATCCTTGACTCTCGTATTCGTCCATCATGTCGTCCTCACCAAAAGACAAAACTGCCGATCAAGGCGCCCAGGATGCAGGTGCGTCTGGTGCTTCAGGCGCAGGCGCCTCTGGCGTCGGTGGCGGGCAAAGGCGTCCGACTCAAGGCGGTAAGAAATCCTTTGTCTTTCCTTATTTTTGCTTAGTTAATTCTAGTTACTTAGGATAGGGCGCCACTTACCCCACGTCCCCGTTGCGCCTGGATCGTTTGTTGGTTTAGAGGGTGCGCCTACATCGACGTCGGCCGGACCATCCACATCATCGGCGCCCGGATTTATGCCAGCGGATGGATCGTATAAAATCACAACCTGGGAGAAATGCTTCCCCCCGGACCACCTACCGACGGAGACGGCCCATTTGCCGTTCGATGTGGCCGGGCCGAATCATCAGTCATCAGCCACGAGCTTATTACAAGTCTGCAGCTGCCGCGGGACTGGTGGTATGCGCCCCCTTCACCTATCTCACGTGTGGGCGTCTGCGGGCCCAAATGGATCGGGGTGTACCAGGAGTACTTCCGGTTTGGGCTGTATTTCCCCCTCGACCACATCATGGAGGGGATTCTGACAACTTGTGGCTGTTCATTGGGGCGCCTATCCCCCTCCGTCATTACTATCGTGATCCTCTTCAAGTTGAGGTGTCGGGAGAATAACGTGGAGACCACCTTCAATTTGTTTAGGTACTTTTTCAAGATGACGCCCCTCGACAACTGTTTATCGCTTCAGAAGCGGAAGAAGCGCCCGAACCATTTCGTGAAACGATGCCCCAAGCTCAACCGAAAATGGTTCAACGGCTTCTTTTTTATGAAGGCGTATCAAGATTCGTTTTACGAGAGTGGGGGCGCCTTTCTTAGGCAGTGGCAGTTGGGCAATGTTGAGCGATTCAATTCGCCCGTGTCATTGTCTCGGGCGGAGAAAGATGGCGCCCGCCTGATTTGTGCGGGGGAAAGTGTGGACTTACGTCCAGCGGAGAATCGTCCTCCCATAATTCAGGCGTACTATAATGATGGTCTGTAGGCGCCTAGGATTTACTTGCTTTTGATGTTGTGTTTCCCTTGTGTCCTAACTAACCATGTTCTCTCCATTGTGCAGGGGCGGACTATGCCAGTATCGCCAAGCTGATGAGAAGTCGGCTTGCTGCGCTGGCAGCAGGTTCACAGCCGCCGGCTCAACCAGAGGCGCCCGAACCGGCCGCCGACCAATCGGAGGCGCCCACTGTTCCCCCGAAGAAGAAGAAGAAGAGGGCCGTGAAGGGGGGCACCGCCCGTGCGAAGACTGCCAGCGTGGCGTCTTCTGCCCCGGAGGAAGGCGAGGGGGCGCCTAACTCCGACCCCGCGGAGCAAGAGGTCAACTCCGCCGAGGAAGAAGAAGAGGAGCTTCTGCTCCGAAAGGGGAAGAGGGCTGGTTCCCCTTTAGCCTCGGCCAGCAAGAGGGCCGATAGAGGCAAGAGGAAGGTGGGCGTCGACGACGACGCCGTCGAAGAGGTTGAGGTGGAGGTGGAGGCGGGGGAGGACGCCCATTTGCACCTCAATGAAGAGGGGCGCTACGTTGGCCCCGACGGGCGTCCACCCATCTTCCGACCCCGGC